GAGAAAATTGATGAGCGGTTGAGTAACCGTCTTTTTCCAGGGATGTGCCATAAGCTGCCTTCATCCATTCCTCTTCGGCAAGAATCTGGTCATCTATCGTGAATCGTCGCCTGATCGGAGTCCCTACTTCTTGAACCTTTGGGCTAGTGTCTGCTGACTGTAGAGGTTCTGAACCTGTAACCTGGAACTGCTCCTTGCCAGTAGAATTGTCAACAGACTGATCCGAGCCCCGGACTATGGAATTTCCCCGGGTGAACAATCCTCTATCAGAGGACGACACAGATAAAGGGGAGATGCTTGAAGAGTCTAGAATCCAAGACCTGTCACCGACTGAGCTCCTAACGCCGACGTTCTCACAGACATACTCATGCCCAAGTGGCTTTGGCGTTGTGGGAGGGGACTCCTGGTCCAGAAGCATTGACTGCGATGTAGCATCAGTTGGTGGGCCATGGAACCCCGGATACTTAGCTCCAACAGGTTGGCCATTGATTCTTATGTCCAGGTCTTGTATGCTCTCCTCTGACTCTGCACCTCTGCGATGCTTGGGGCGGTAGGTAAGCTTTGGACGCAGGACAGAAGACCCCAGCCTCTCACGGTCATCATTCGTTATTTTTCTCCGCCTCCCAAATTTCTGTAAAGCTTCTACTGGAGGGAATAGCACCGTGAGTGGCCGCGCTGCTGCAACCGATGCCCAGTTAGCCTTCTCTAGCAGTTTATGCTTAATCCGTGCTAAGTCTTGAGCTGCTTGTGAGGACTCCTGTACGGTCGGTACGAGACGTGGTTTCTTAGCGGGGTAGGAGAGAGAGGAACTATGACTAGACTTGATCGTAACTTAGCATCAAGAACTAACGGATCCACGGACGTACTCTACCTGCTGGCTCGGGTGATGCTTTGGCTTGTTGTTGCATGGTTCTCTAGCTCGAATGCCTTCGAGGCAGATCTTCCTATTTAGGGAAGTCGTGAAAGAATCTTTCGTCTCTGCTGTTCTTGACCTCTTGAAATTTTGCTTTCTGTTTCCTGTATTGTTGCTCGAGTGTCGTCGAAGACGACCTCCGATCCAGTTCATGTTGCGGTAACTCTGCAAATATGGCATGATGACCTGAGGAATCTTCTACAGAGATACGAGGGAGGGTATGTAACGGCGTGAGGAATGAGCATCATGTGATGTATGATGAATACACAGGTAAGGTCAAAAAGCATCGACTTGTCAAGTTTACGGTAGTATAGTATCACTACGAGTGTGGTATTGGGACCGAGGACCAGGCCGCCAACACAACAATAGCTACATCGGGAACTGGACACAATTGGAAATAATTGATTATGCTTGTGACCTAGGGAGCTTTCATAATCGTTGATTGTGCCTAAGCAGCTACGTTTGGCAAACGCATTCATCGAGATTTCAAGTGAGTGCGCGTATAGGAGCCGGAAGGAGGTCGTCAAGGTATCACAACGCATTCTCTGATGAGGCAGCATAATGTGTATAGCGACCCAGAGTACAGCGTTATGATCAGATTATGTGATCTTATTTATGTGCAAGACAAATTGGACAACTTACCACATGAGGTATGGTGAAGTCCATCGACTAGCATCATTAGGACTCTCGTCTAAGCAAGACATCTGGAAACGGCTCGGCCCGGCAAACGACCCAGGTCACTACCGTAGAACTTGGGCGTCACTAATTTAGCTTCATCTTGGATCATCGGAACCTCGGCTTGAGTGGGGGTGCAATCCGTGCAAACATATCACGTGCATAATTCGCTTCGGCGGCTCTTAAAATATCTTCCCACATGCCAAATTCTTTTCCCTTTCTTCTTGACACCACGCAGACGACAACGGACACGCCAGAGGTGGCAAAGATGGTGCCTGCATCATCTTATTTGCTTGCTCGGAAGCAGACATGAGAAGTTCATTTGCCTTGCTTTGATTTAGGCGGGTTTCTGAAACTGTTTCGTGTCAGCGATGCGCCCAGCTGGCAGCCTCGTCGCACAGGGTTCCTGGCGAGGTCTGCGCGCCGTCTAGCTTTCTTTTCGTCTCTTTTCCAATTTTTTACGACTCCCCCTTTTCTGGGCCTTCCAGGCAACAGGTAAGCGCAGCGCTTTTTTCTTTTTCTACCCCTTTTCTACATGGGTGTCACTGGGGGCTATTTGCCCACAATGATGAACACCATACCAATAAGCATAGTTCACCTGAGATCTTCGGATTGTTGAACGAAAACTGTATACCATCTTTCACCTTTATCTGATACACACCCATTGTTGCGTCATTGTCTGCTATTCAAATTGGAATATCGTTCGAGAACCAATCGCTGACATTGCATGCTTTAGGATGCCTAGAACTGAACGGTGCGGGATTATACGGCGTAGAACGGGATACCCATAATTTAGAATTTTAATTTGAGAGAGAGCGGGATTATTGAAATTGTGATGAATCCAATCCAACCCTGATTATTGAACTTCCAGCTTATTCTGAGACAAGCGTAAAAAGAAACTTCCCGGCAGTCCCGTAATTAAATCCATCACATTGCTGCCCAACTTCCCGTGGTGTCAAGTCTTGCTTGCGCCGGTGGATGAAGCCCGGAGTGCAGCTGTCAACTAATATCCGGAAGAAGGATGTGAGGTTCCTCATCATGAAACGTAGCAAACATGTCAGTCAAACTGGATGGCACAACCCCTCCCCCTCCTTTTCTTTCGCAGCAAGCGGCGAGATTGGGCGAAGCGAGCCGCTGTGGCATGAAGCAACACGCTGTCCCGGGGAAGGAGGGGCAATTGTCAATTATGTGCAGTAGCTGCGACAAGCGAGATCCCTGTTCCGCGAGATGTAGGAGGGGATTGACGTGGTGGGCATCATAGCCAGAGGATGAAGCCAAAGTTGGCATCCTTTCACGAGGGAAAGCGGGGCCGCCGAGGAAATGCCGATGACTGGCTGGCAGGTACAGGGATAGCCCTGCACGCGACAAACCACGGGGAACGCTCAGGAAAGGCTCGGCGCCAATCATTTAGGATTGCCAATCCTGCCGGCTGAGGGGCTTTGCTGCCGGTGATGCAACACTGCAGCCCATCTTCTCCTTGGCCGCCAATCATACTTCTTGGATAGGTGGAGGACGGGTGAGGCCCGCCTCACCGCTAGATTGAGCAATTGCCCGGGTGGTGCCGTTGCCAAATGATACCTTTAGATACATCCACCCACCGGCCACGTCAAGCCCCTCCATGATGAGTGACTTCCGAAAATCATTGGCAGAGAGGGACCGGACAACACCACCTGGCGCTGCACCACTATCACCGCCATGTCTCGCAGCGCCAAATCATCATGCTCGATACGGCCAGTGAGGCAGCCGGCTGCAGCAAGCATGCACCTCCGGCACACGCTTGGACGCACCGTCTCCTCCGATAGCCCCCCACGCCTGGCCTCCTGAACGAGACTCCAGCCGGTTCCCTCGCCTCTAAAAGGCCGTCCTTTCCCCTCCAGATGGAATTCTTCTCGACCTTTCCTATTCTCCTCATCATCATCACACCAGACTCAAAGAAGAAATCCGAACTTTGCCCACTCTTGATACCCAACGAACCCAAGATACCCCTTTTTTACTTTCCATTGATCTTCTCTTACTCCACACACACACACACACACACACACACACAATCAACACTTCCAAAACACACTACCCCTCCATTCTACTTCTGCTAGATTTGTCACAGTCAAATCAGCTCTTGCCTACTACTATCCCATCATCTCCACCTGCTCTCAAGGCTTGAACTACTACTTGCTTGACTCTTTTGTTCTTTCTCTGTTCCTTCAAGTGTCCAATCCGTGGATCTTGGAAAAGAAAAGAAACTACTTGCCCTCCCCTCCTGGCTAGATCAACCCTTGAACTGCCCTTCTGGAAACCCAGTCCGTATCCTGGATAGGATTTGCTTGCTTTGTTTTGTTTTTCGCTCCTCCCAGGCTTTAGTCTGAGTATACGGCAACACAATAACAGGTAGTCCCCTCATCACTCTCCTTTTGTCTGCTTGCTTTGATTCTGCTTTTCTTTCTCTTGCTTTTGTCCCTTTCTGCGATTGTTTGCATTTCGAAACCCCTGGATCCGCTTTTATCGACGATCTTTCAACGACAGCAGCACTATAGAGGATCCCTGGACTCTTGAATCTCTTTGCTTCCGCTGGATTCTTCCGTCGAAGCGACGGATTGACGAAAATATGTGACCATGGAATTCATTTGCTTGTCCACCGCAGCCGCTGTGTGACTGGACACTCTTGAGTGTTGTTTAATGTTGCACACTCAATTTTCGATTACCCCTGGACTTATCCTTTCTGCCTGGAACCACGGATCTCTCCTCACTAAGCCTAGTGGGAATTTGGACATTTGCCTTGGACCCCTTTTTTGTTGGCCTGTTTTCTCCGTTCCCGATTTGGATTTCCCACCGTTCTGGATTAGAAGCCGTCTCTGGAAATAGCAATCACACAATGAACTGTGACCTTGGATTTTTCGATCAAAACATCACTGGCTTTCGACACTTAATGGACTGAACCGTTGATCAACTTATGTGTTGCATCTTATCACTTGATACCCTTTTGTAGTCTGGATCCCTGGATGGATACCTTAACCGAGACTAGACGACCCGATCTACTGCAGCTGCAGCTTTGACGCCGGAAACAAGCACCACGGACTTGTTGCCACTTTTGCCGATCGCTTTACTGGTTATGACCTCAGATATTTCCTGGATTAACAACAGTGCACCCCTTCTCATGGACCAAGCGGTAACCTCCCTGGATTGATCTACACACGACATCCTCTTGGTTGGTGTGCCTCGACCTTAAAGCTTGCATGAATGATTTATCTGACTGATTATAGGCCCTTTTACGCAACATGGATCCCAGATGCAGACCATCGTTCACTTTCTGTCATTGTTTCAACAGCGATTAGGTGTAGATGTACTGACTCTTAGTTACTTTCTAGTGCTTGCCATTTGTTTTCCAGCTTGTCTGGTATTAGAACACCCACACACAATGTCCACCAAGATCAAGAACGACCCAGAGAACATGTCTTTGTCCCAGTCATCTTTGCACACTATGGACCACTTGTCTCAGCCGAGACAAAACCAAATGATCCCAGGGATCCCCAACATGGCCTCCAGAGGAATCCAGGATGATGAACTTTCGAGCCAGGACAATTTCTCCTTGTGTTCAAGCACACACCCCAACCACGGGACCCCCAATGACTTGAAGGGGTGGTCTCTGAGCGACGTGGATGCACTTGACAGTGGTGCGATGTCCAAACCAGAGTCCCCGGAAGTCCAGATGCTCTCTTTCTCTTTCTCTCAGCAACTGCTGCCATCGACCGTTGGCCCTAGTGATGTAATGTATCATCACGCCGGATCCGATTTCTCAGGCATCCAGGATGTGACTGAGCAAAATGACCTGGATTTCTCCCATGCACATGACTTCAACCACTACTCCTCATTGGTTGACCTCTCTGCCTTTGATAATGAAGTTTATGGCCAGAATGGTACCCAGTCCTCTTGCACTCCTGATGATACTCTCTCCAGCCACAGCTCTCATGCGGATGACGGCCACCTGGCCGGCAATGAGGCGTGGAACTCGATGAACTACCACGGATCATCCATGGATCAGTATACCACCGGCATGTTCCAATCAGTGCCTGTTTCTCCCCCCTTGTCTGACGCCAGTAATGATGTTTCTGTTACTTCTTGCTCTGCCTCTGGATACCCCACCTTCATGAGCCATGAAGATGCTATGCTCAAAGATGTTACAACCACTCCCGTTGGAAGCCATGGAATCAACCTAGGAGACCCATTGTTCCCCCTCACTCCCCCCTTGAGTGAGCAGGACCCCAACAGGTTAGTATTTCTCTATCGCATTTGCAGCTGTGAGCAGCCGATTCTGACCCCCAACAGAACCATTCGGGCAACCAAGAATGCACGTAGGCCAGCCCTGCAGACTTCCATGTCCCAGACCCAGGTCAAGCAGGATCCTGAATTTTTCCCACCCCTGCCCGTCAAGGAAACGCTCCGCCAGAAAGCCAAGGAGGGCTCTGATCTCCGGAACCCCCGGGATCACCCTTACTACTCCCTGCCCACCCACAGTGATGGAAAGTACTACTGCCCCTTTGCCAACGGAGAGAAGCCTTGCAACCACCCCCCGACTACTCAGAAGTGTGCCTATCAGTAAGTCAAACCCCCAACGCTTCGATGAAGCATCGAAACTAATCGTGCAACAGCAAATACTTGGACTCCCACTTGAAGCCCTACCGCTGCAAGGTGGCCGCCTGCATGGATGCCCAGCTGCAGTTCTCTTCGAACGCATGCCTTTTCCGCCACGAGCGCGAAGCCCATGGATTCCACGGTCACGGAGATAACCCCCACCTGTGCCTGTTTGAGGGTTGTGACAGGTCGGTGCCCGGCTACGGATTCCCCCGCAGGTGGAATCTGTTCGACCACATGAGACGTGTGCACGACTTTGCCTCTTCGGACAGGCACAGCTCCCCGGATGCTTCCCCTACCACTGGACCGGCCAAGAAGAAGGAGACGGGCGGACGCAAGCGTAGAGTTGCTGGGGTCACTGGCGCCCCCACCATGAAGCGCACTCGTTCCACCCAGTCCCAGACCAACCCTCTCAAGGCTGCCCAGCAGACTTCTGCTCACCACAACCAGAGACTCCAGAATGCGGAGAGAAACTACTACAACTGCCGGTCCCGGCTGCTTGAGGAGCTCACCAACATCACGCCCCAGGATTCTTCCATGCATGAGAAGGTCAATGCCAGCCTTCAGGAGCTCATTACCCTTGGACTCAACTACCGCCACATTGAAGCCAGCCAGGCTGCGGCTCAGATCGCTCACGGTCTCCCTGCTTGAATGCTTTACTGAGACGATCATTTGAAGTCTTTTTTAAAATTTGTCTTCCCAGGCATCGCCGAGTGCTGGATGGTTCTCATAGGAAGGATCTCATGGTAACGGGAAAGAGCCGTGATGGATAGAAGTTTCACGGAAAGCGTCCGTGAAAGATCATTCTCTGACCATCGGTTGGATTTCTTATTTCATTCCAAAGGATCCTTGGCCTCCTGCAGCTGCCCGGAGAGCTCCCCGCTCCAGCCACAGTGTGTCCACGACGCATCTCGCGGCTTCACCCTCGGTGATGCGGATCTGATCCCATCATCTAGAGGGTTATCTTCTAGACCATTACCGGACTCACTACGGTGTAGGTTGGTATGGTGGAAGCATTGATCGGGGACGACAGCTCTGGGCGGTCGGATAGGAGATGCCTCCTAAGTCCTTCATCATTGTCTTGTGACAGTTTACGTTTCATGTACGCGCAGCTTGCTGCGCATGGTTCTGTAAAAACCCTTTATTCAATTTCTGTGTATCTTCTTGCTTTTGGGCGTGGTTTTGCTTGCTACTTTTTCGGTATCGATGCGAAGCATCGACCTTCATCTCGGGCCTATGTTTGAAAGAGGTCGACCAGAGAGAAGAAAAAAAGATGGGAACGGGGCGAATTGGAAATACAGGGATGATGGTTTTGTATATGGGATTTTGGGATTTGGATATGGATATAGATGACGGGTTTTTCGTTCATGTATAGGTGCAGGTCGTGGAACAGGAGGCCTGCCATTATTTTATGTATTGGGAGTTCATACGTGCATTTTGTCCTGTGAATATTCTTTGTTTCTCCTGCACCTGTTTTTTGTGGATTCTTCAATCCCCGCTTTGGATATAGCGTGACTACTTACTCAAGTTTCTGAGGGTCGCTGTCATTAGCTTTCTACTCTACTTCCCTGCTAGCGGGGATCAAAAGTTTTGCTATTTTCTTCCCACTATCTACCTTTTGGCTCTATTTGAGCCGTAAATTTCGATTGTCTTCTTGAAAGATACGATGAATACCCAGGATTGAATTATTCATAATATACGTATGTTAAGTAGCCTGCTAGTAGGCTAATAGCTAGACGTTATTTGCAGTAAGCTATAACAAATGAAACGCTCTCTAAATACTTGCAAAACACACGCTTCTATGGTGAACTTTTCCCATCCGTCTCTATCACATCACTGTAAACAAGCCTTCACCTTAACGACTACCTTTTAACGAGAGAACATGTCCCAACTAAAATCAACACCCTCATCACAAAACCAATCAACAAAACACAAAGAAATCTTCAAAGATGCGATTACTCGCTTTCCGCCCCAAACTCCGCATTCAAAAACCTCACAAACGCATCCGGCACCTGCTCCGCCGTCAACCCGCCCTTACTCGACGCATGCGCCCCCTGCACATACGCCCGATTCAACGCAATCCACTGCCTCCTCAGCCTCTGCAGTCTCGGCAACGCAAGAATGCCGCCCGCGCCGGCTAATTCATCCGTCGTGCCGGACGTGGCCACATGCGCCGGAACATAAACGGGCATGGACGCCTCCGGGACGGGGATGCTTATTCCCCGGCCATTACCGCTGCTGCTGTTGCCGTCTTGGCACTGCGCGAGGGCGGCTTCAGCGGAGGGGTTGGAGAGCGTGAAGCTGCGGATGGCGGAGACGATGGCTGAGGTGCGCTTTTCCATGTTGTAGAGGGCTGTGGAGTCTGTTGCGGCGGGGAGGGCGGTGGCTTGGTGGGGTTTGATTTTGGGGCGGTTGGTGCGGAATGTAGAGGGATTATTCGCTGTGGTGGTGGTGCTTGCTGCTGAGGAGAGGCTGGTGTTGTTGAGGGCTGAGGTGAGGGTTGATACGGAGGTGTTGGGATCGGGGGTGGTTGCTGCTGAAGGGTGCGGGATGCCGGTTAGGGCTGTCCAGATTTCGGCGATTGGGGGGGAGGCGTCGGTCCAAGGGACGGTGAAGAGAGGCTTGTCCCAGCGGCTGTGGATGCTGGGTTCTTCGTAGCGGAAGATGAGGTTGTTGAGGAGTTCTGGGGGGTAGGGGTCTTCTTGGTCGGAGGTGGGTTCGGTGGTGGTGGATGGTGCTTCGGCGTCAGGCTGGGGAGTGTTCTCGTTGCTGTTGTCGTTGTCTGTGTCTTTTTGGCGGCGGAGTCGAGCCTCGTTGTTTGCGACGCATTGGTCGATGGGGGTGCCGACATGGACCTGGTGGTGATTGTGTTAGTGCGCGTTGCTTGATGGTTGTTATTGTTGAAGGAGGATGAGGGAGGGCATAGCATAGCATACCACGCAACATGTCGTCCCTAGTGCCTTCGCCTCACACCACAGCTGATACCGGTATCCTTTGATGTAGTTCATTCCGTCGAGGATCACGAAACTGTCCTTGCCGAGGGCGCGCTTCGCCCGCGCATACGCCACGCCTCGGGTCTCCTTTTCTGTGCGGGCATGGTCGTAGACGGTTCGCGGATGGGAGGGATCGTGAGTAGGTACGACATGGACCTTGTAGCGAGGTTTCGTGGAGGGGAGAGCGCCGGTGTTGAAGAGTTCGGTTTGGGTTTCTTCGAGCTGCGTTGCGAGTTGGTTGGCGCGGTAGGTGAGGCCGGAGCAGGGATAGCCGGTCAATACTATGAGCTGTGGTTGGTTAATGCGGATCTATTGCAAAACGTTGAGGGAATGTACCGGCATGATGAGAGGGAGGGGGAGCGATCAACAGTTATGGTCGGTTGCTGATGTTGCGCGGTGGATTTGCGGCGGAGAATGAATTGCTGGAAGTTATTTTTGCGCGGGGCGGCTCGGTGGGGTCCATGTGACTGACGGCTCTATACAGTTGGAACAAGCACAACATTGTCGTCTACTTCTGAACATGCTCGCTCTGAAGCAGATACTGCCATGTCTATTTGCATTTTATCGCTAATATAATCAACTTTTATTGTAGGCGTATCTTTTTGGCTACACGTCTCAAAGCGAGTCATGACTCATAAACTCATCCATTTCCTCCAACGCCAGTATGCTATTTCAACTCCTCCTCTGCCCAGCGAAGTTCATATCCAAAGACCGTCCTTCTCAAACGTTCATCCTAGAGTATGTTAGCCAAATTGCCAGTTACCCAGGCGGGGCAACTATACTTACACCTGGGTCGTTCTCGAACAACACCTCATCCATAAGCTTCTCAAATATCTTAGTTACTTGGAAGCCATTCTCCTCCGCCAGCGGGAAAAACTTCTCCGTCTTGGGCAACAGCCATGGCTCATATGGCGTGAAGATCACCAACGCGACGGCCTCCTTGGTCCGCTTCATGGTCTCCCGCATCGTCTTGATCAGATTGGGATGCTCGCGATGACTGTACACCACATCTGCCATGATAAGCACATCAAAGCCCGTCGCACCAGCGGGCAGGCACGCAAGCAGCGGCTCTACCGGGTTTCCCCATTTATATCCATCAACGTGGAGGGAGCCAGGGTTCACGATCTGAGACTCAGCCAACGAGGCATTGTAGCGCATGTTTTGGACAAGATCCAGGTCCGGGTAGTCGGTCATCACGGTGGTGCGGGCGCCCAGAATGGCGCTGACGATACTCGGGACACCGGCGGCGGCACCGATTTCGAGGACATCCTTCCCCTCAATTAGTGTGCTGGCGCGTTCCTCGATGTAGTGGGAGCTGGTTCGGCCGGCATTCCAGAGGAGGTTTCCCTAGAATGAGATATTAATGATTGAAACCGGGTGAAACATGAGGTACCGAGAGTGCCGTACATAGAGAGGATGGCTACCAACAAGGCGCACGCGCACTTTCTGGCCGGAGAGCATGTGATGCTCTGCAAAGGTGGGCTCGGGCTCGGGTTCATAGAAGCCCTCGGGGTCCTCGAACATGGCCGCCGTGTCGAAATTGTCTTCTTCCGCCATGGTGATCAGATGCGAGCCTAGCTCCAGCGGATGAGTAAATCGATCTGGTGAGGATGTGAATGTCGCATGATGGGCGATGGGGCGGTGATGCGCACCGAATAATGAATTCTCGAATGCGAATCTCAGGGTGGAGTCATTTTTCGTGGTGGGGGAATACCGTAAAGGGACTAGCGCGGGTGATTAAACCACAGGAGAATCACCTGACCTCACGTGCCATTCAGCCGAGGCATCGCCGCGTAATACGGTCACGGTACCTGCATCTCCCAGGCAAACCCCGCGTGGGGTCGGGCGGAGAGACCGCCTCGCATACCGGCCGGGTAATTATCGGCATTACCTTGTCGCGAAATTTTTGCTGGCCGATGGGCTGCTTTTCAAAAGCAATGCAACAGGAAAACTGAAAGAGAAGAGATCAATCCTTAGTAGTCACAATAGTCTGATAGTTTTCAGCTCCTCGCGACGGGGATTGTCGATCATCGTCAACTGAACTGATCTCCGCTTGACTAGTTCGATGATTGTCCTTTCCCCCCTCCCTCGCTAACTCTCAGTATATTATCGCCTGATTGACCTTGCGTCCCAAAAGTACGATCCCGACCAATTGATCGCAGCGCCCCGACTATCTGTGACTATCGCAACCGTCCCTCACTTTCCGGTTCAGCGTCATCCGTTCGTGGAAATTCCACTTATCAGCCTTTAGCCTTGCCGGACGTCATACCGCGGCCTTCTGGGACGAGCCCCACGTGTTGCTACTTTTCCTTTGCTGGCTGGCGCTTTTTCTTTCTTTCTCTTCTGCCGGCCTCTTTTCCTTCTTTCTTCTCCCCTCATCACACCATCTTCTATACGCCAGCGATCAGGCTAAGGCGACTAACGACTCCACCGGATCAGTCCATTCAATCCCCGATACCCTCTCTACGCCTGGACTGCGATCTCATCCCGCCAGCTGAGCCTAGCCTTTTGCTCCCTTGTCGCTCCCTCCCCTTCGCGATCGCTGCCGCCCTCATAGACTTCTCACATCGCTATCGTCCTTATCACCACCACCTCTCCTCCACCATAGATATATAGAGAATACAACATGGACGGCTCCTCCCGCACTTTGACTCCCTTCAACCAACCTCAGTCCACCGCACACGTCTCACCAGGATACTCATCGCAACCTCAAAACACCCTGGGTCTCGCAGCCGCCGCCGCCGCCGCCGCCGCAGTCAACAGCCAAACCGCTCAGATGCAGCTTCAATCTCAAGCTTCCACTGCAAACGCCAGCGAGCAACAAAACCTCACCGATCTTTCACAAACCTCTGCTGCTGCTGCAACGATGGGCCAGCCTGCAGCGGACACCTACCCCCACCAAGTCACTGGGTCGGGCGGCCCGACGGCGACAGCACCTTTCTTACGAGACTTCAGTCTTGTTGCAGAGGCAGCCAAGCGGGCACAAATGTCCGTGATGGTGCGAGATCTGGAGAGTGTCACGCTATAAATGGCATCAGCTGGGAGAAGGGCACGCTGACATCATTGTTTATCTCGGGGTGGGAGCACGGGACCAATATGACTGATAGATTGGATGGGACCGTTGATGAGATAGAGGATATCTATCATCCCCATATTTATTTTCTTTTTCTTTTTTTTTTTTTTATTAGAGAGGAGTGCGTGGTGTATATTTGCGGTTCATTTATCTATGGGTGGGGTTGGGTGTTGTATCTCTTTTTGGATTCGTCTCTTCAGTCTGCTTTACACCTCGGTTCACCTTCTATCTATCCACTACTCATCTCTTCTTTACAGGCTGATTTCTTTGCGTTGGGTGAACTGCAATTATTCTGATTGGCGAGCACATACACATTATATTATTTACTATTACTGTAGGTACAGGTACTTACTCCATTTCGTTCTAATTAGTTCCACTTTGATTGGACACTACTACCAACACCACTACTGTCTATTAATCTATCTAGTATCTACTTAAATTAACTAATCTATTCTTCCTTTCGGGCTTAACGGTCGGCGGAAACCAAACCAAACCAAGTCAGCCACTTACCTACAACGAAGTACTAGCACTAATAATCAGTATATTAAACCCTCTCATTTCGGAAATTCCACTCCATCCATACATCCCTTTCCCTTCTAAAATTTATTCTCTATTGTGTCATAATTCATTTCCTACCAAAAGCTTGACCCCTCCCAAAACGCCCGGACAGTTACTGAACTAGTCTAGTAAACTAATTCCCTGCTGTACTAAGACTAAGCCACTGAACAAGGAAGCCAAAACCGGAAATTAAACACAACTAAGGTAACCGCCCCTTTTCCAATTCCGACCATCTCTGTACGACACCCACTTGTCCCACTTTCACTTCTTACCTGGTACTTGGATACAGCGTACAGATAGGTACATTGGTTTCGAGTCCAATGTAAGTATGTATGTATAGGTATTCCAGAAGTAACCGATTAGTTGGTCTAGTAAACAGTAGTCTGGGGATAACCGAGTCATTGATTTGTGCAACTAAAACCTGTCTCCTTACACACTCAAGTACTAACTACTACAATCACCCCTGCACTTCCCGGCGCTTAGGCACAGCATTATTATTCTGGTACCTTCTTATTCTTCTTCCCCCGCTCCTCGGTTCCCTTCATTCGCCTAGAATAGATTGAGAAGGTAGCCTACTTCGCCTGTTAGTTTGTAAGTTCAATCCCCGGAAATTCCGGAATTGCAAGGCAAAACTAAGAAAAAAACCAAGTATTGGCTTGGAAGTTAAACCGTGAGGGGAAAGGGGGGGCAGGGGAGGGGAAAACAAGGCAGAGACCCTTGTCACTTGTTCTTGTTCTTGTTCTTTTCCCCACTTACGCCTGTTACTTACTTGGGAATCCCTTGATGGATGGACCGGTTATGGTGATGATAATGATGATGGTATTTGTGTACAACACTATTTCATATCTACTATAGGTACTACCATATAATAACTAACTGCTTATGTATGGAGTAACACCCACCCCACCAGATCATATCTCAATACATCAGAATAAGACGAGACTAGTTAGTTAGCACTACTTATGTCGCGATAGCGATAACGAGGGTGCAATTTACGGTTAAGCGCGGAGGGGTAACTTTACGATAATGATAAAGGATAAAGGATAACGATAAAACTAGGCAACTAGTAGTAAGTAACTGTGATGGTGATAAGTTGGTTGCATGCAGGTACATGAATAAGCCCGTATTGGATACTGATGAACGAGTGGGTTGATTGGCTGTGCCTGGCGTGGTGTGTGGGTGGATATGATGAACTGTACATCTTATATTCAGTTACTATTCTTAGAGTATGGTATACAACAGGTGATTTGACTACTATTACTGCAGTGGATTAGTAGTATTTCTTTTGGAACTCTTTGTTCATTGATGCAGGTGTGTATATGAAACATGATGGTTTTTTGTGGAGATGAAAATAAACAATAAGGCTATACAATGCCGCCCGCCCATGCAGTATGAAAATATATGATCATCAATGTATATGTATATACATGATCTATATACAGATGTATACCCGATCACCAAGAGGTGTGAAGGTGAGCATGGGTATGTATATAAATACATGTTTTGGTTGAATGTGCAATTGCGATTCTTCTTCTGCTTGTAGAAGCAAATAATGAATGCGAAGCAAACGGAAACCTGCATATCGAGGTAAAATCAAACTCAAAGCAAGATAAACTTAACACCAAACACCGAGCTAATGCGGACACCCAACCTTGTAAATGGGAATTGAAAATGAGAATTTGAAAAAATGTATTCAATATTGAAATGAAATGGGCCCGGTAAGGAAGGTATGGATGAATGTATGATCAAGGAAAGACTTTTGACTGGTATTATAAATCAAAGGATCGAATGATGCTCGCCGCGCCGTGCTGAACTCCGATTATAAAGATGCGGTTTTGGGTTCGTGGGTTGCATGCTTGGGTTGGGATGGGTCGGTTATGTTGGTACTTGTGGTGATGTATGTGCGGGGGCGGCTGTCGGCGTCTATGTGTATTAACTCTCGTCGTGTCGATCAATTAGGATAATGGCGATAGAGATGGTGACAATGATGCAATATCGAGAGTCGATGATGAGATTATATTTGAGTCGATGCCCCAATCAAATTGGGCTGCGAGATACTCCCGGCCTGACCGGGCGTCAACTTCTTCGACCGTCTCGATCCGAAGATGGAAAACCGCCGACTGAGCCTCCTGGAGGGCTCAGAGGCGAATATCGAGAGGGGACGGGGCCTCGGGGGCTGCGGTTCGGCCGCCACAGGCACATCCATAGAAGGTGAGGAGATCGATCCGCTTGATCCGGCGATTTCATCTATCCCGAAGATGGACTGGCGACGCTTGCTTCGGATCTTCTCGCTGCTGGGTTGGAGGGTCAAGTCTTCCTTGATGTCGTCGAGGGCGTGGGAAAAGCGGCGCAGAAGCTTTGGCTTCTCAGCAATAGATGGCGCGCGCTCCTCCAATCCGTACATTTGTAGAGGGGTCGAGTCTGGGGCATCTTCCCTCACGGGCGTCGAGTAGTAGCGGGGGATCTTGTAGTGTTGCGGACGGCGGCGGGGAGCAGGAGGAAACCATACTTGATGGTGTGGAGGGTGTTGCGAGACGGGGCTGCCGGAGAAGGAGGAGCGAGAGGAGTCGGTTGACGAGGAGGTCAACATATTCTTTTGATTGTGGTGGGTGTATACCAGGAACGGATTGAGGGTGGGATAGAACTAGGCGGAAACGATAGTAATAGATACTCCGGGATAAGAGGATATAGGAGGAGCAGTAGTAGCTGAGGTGGGAATGCAAGTATATTCAAGGATATGCCGCGGAAGCCGAAGACAATTGAGGAAGAAAAGACTGATGATAGAGCGGCAGGGGGTGGAAAAGAAACGAGAGAATCGGGTGGTGGTTAGTCTAACTCCAGACAAGTCAGACGGTTCGTCTGATCTCGGTGTAGGGATGGGATGGGATGGGGGTTAAAAAATACTTAATACAGGACTATAATTATAGCTCCCAAGCACTAGGGGAGAAAAAGTGGGGACTCGCGGAGTATTCACCGGCTTATTACAGACACAATGGATACTTACCTTACCTGGGGACTTTTTTTTTTCCTGCGGCGTATTCCCGTGTAACCCGTACCGATCGTATGTTGGCCCTTTGTTGCCATCCTTTGTTGCGATGGCGGAGACGAGGAAAGACAGCGTGTGTTTTGTGTCTGTACAGTCTAGTTTGACCGAACCAGACTTTTGCATTGCTTGGTTCCATCTCTCTTCCTCTCCCCCTTCTCCCCCTCCGGTGGTGCTCCGAAAGTGCTGGAGAACTCCGTGGATGGTGGACCAGTTCCAATTTCTCTCGTCTCCTCACTAGAAAAACTACGGTACGGAAGATTTCAACTAACTCCTGATCGAGATCCTGCTAATTGCCCTTCGACTGTCTTCCATCCATATCAGATCCTTGTCCTTCCTAACCGCTCGGCTCGCCGTTTGCCGTTCCTAGGAACCCAGCCGATTGGAGTGCACCAACCGCCGTCACTTCTGGGGGATGACGCGGCGATTGAGGCGTCCACCAACGAAATCCAGCAGAGGATTGACAGGTTGATGGCTAGCATTCAGCTGTTTCTATGGATAGATATCAAGATGAAACATGCATTGGAGCATCGCTTGTGCAGCGCCTCCGTATGGGGGGTTATGCCGTTATGGATCAATACGTACGCGGATGATGCACACGATTGCGGCCCATGGACCCATGCTCCACGACAACGACTCACTAGTAATATCATCCCACCGGACACTGCGGGTTAACCAACGCGATACGATTGGGGCTGCGCTCTCTTTTGTGTATGTTTGTATGTATGTTTGGAACAGGCAAGTGTGTCGGTTATTGTTACTCTGTAGGCATCAATAATGAGAGACAGTCCGGTCGGAATGGCGAGATTTTAGTCCACTACTGCTTCCTACTTGCATGCTGGGAAGTACTTAAGTATGGATGGTAAAGCTTCCGTATTGGAGACTTGCAGAATACATTCATACGAAGTGCATACATGCATAGTGACATAATTTCATGGGTTAATGGGGTCATTAAACGGGGGGGAGACCCCCTAAGAGGGTCAGAACACAACAGCCAGAGTAGGCACTGACTCTGCTTTTTTTCATTTTTTTTTTTTCTTTTCCCTTTTCTTCCTCACTCGTAAAGCAGTAAATAACAATAATAATCTGTGTAAAACCTACGGGCTGCACTATGACCCAAAAAGGGCCAGAACTAACGGGCTTAGCGTGGAGGTGCAGAGCCAGCCACATTGCCCGTTGCCTGCAAGGTGAAACACCATCCACTCCAACCATCTCCATCCACCAGCTTTGACGAATCAGATGTAGTCACTAGTGCTGAATCGGGGCTGGGACATGATCTCATCGGGTCCTCACGGCTGCTGCGGGTGGGTCCGGACACGGGCATGTGCGTAGCATTGCACAGGGATTGGCCTGCGATGTAGGCGTGACTCCGTTCCGCTCGTAACTGACTTTGGCCTAGGAGGGAAGGTCTGAGGTTTCTAGCGAGCTCCCACTCCCTCGCTAACTTACTCGTATAGTGCTTACTATCCCCGAAACAGTAACATCTCAAAGCCAAGAAATTTAAGGAAATGAGCTTCAAGGGTGTGCCCCCCTGTTCATGAATCGCTCCGGGGAAATTGGCAATCTTGCATTTACCCTGAAAAACAAAGAAAATTCTTTTTATGCGCTTCGTGGTTGGTTGGTTCAAAATCGGCTGGGGGGACGTCGTCCTGAACCCGAAGCAGCGGCTGCTGGCGTCCCATGGAAAAAGCCAACTGGGGCCATGTCTGAATGCCTTTACCAATGGCAGCTGGCCAAGCTGCCACGGCAGCCAGCTGGACATTTTTTTCACCCAACTTTAATGGCCCCGATCAGCCGTAGTTCGCCGATCACGGCACCTTATTGACATGATATCTGCGGCTCAATGGAACCGCAGTACCATAGTATTGTGAAAATAAGGAATTATCATTGTTACTTGTTTTGATTATACGTGGTTTCCATGGACTCCGATGGTGTGATTACCAATTTTCAGTGCCTCTGTTGCGTGAGTCGCTACAGCTTCCTTTGCTCTTTCAATTAATGCAGTCTAGAGACGGTAAGTGCCATGAGCGCTGGTCATTCATTACTCAACTCGGAAACCAACTCCGGCTCCGACTGAGCTTGGATCGCATGCAGCACAAAATGGTGGACACTAATTCTGTCCTCTGCTTCTCACACAGCCTGCCTTTCATCGCCTCCCGAGTCATGGGAGTCCGCGCAAGCACCACCTCAGCCATCACGCCTTTTCCGACGTCTCACCTGCATCAATACCAAGCTTTGTCATTTTGCGAGGATCGCTGGTCAGAATTTTTTCCAGCCAGTGGACTCGGGCAGATCAACCGAGCAGTCATGTTGAGTTCTTTTTCCCGAAAATACGGAATGATTTTTGACACGACATTGGTTTGTTGTCACCAGGCAGAAGTATACTTTACCTCCAGCCAGCCAGCTAGCCAGCTAGTCTCGTCTTACGGCTATGCAATGTGCCGTACAGCCACCGCTCCGGATCTCCACATTAGTCAACGCTTCTAATGCGCATCTTCCGACCTCCGATGGAGTCTTGAAAAGAGCGCAGGCGCGAATGACGCGTTACTTGTTTCGCATCGCACACAATTTGGTATATCAAGTGGCGAGATTATTTCTAGGTCCTGTGGGTTGTGACCGACCTCGGATCTGGCCTGGCCCGTCATGCTCCATACTCTCGCGAGTCGCAACAAGAGCTACGGGTTGTTTACAAATCTCGGATCTAGCCACGATCCCGCCTGTGTGGATCAGATGGGTCACACTGATATTGCACACTGCACAGTACCAAGCATCGGTTGCGATTGATTTCGGACTGCTCCGATTGTTTTTGTGGGCTAACTAGTGAACTTAGTTCTTCTATCCTGCGGTTGAAGATGCTCTGGAATATGTCTGATCCAATATGCTCATTGTTGGCAAGAATGCAGCAATAGACCTCAGGCGCACTGAAGGCTAGTGGATGATGCAGCAACAATTGGTAACCGTTGTCTTGACTCATCGCTTCTCTTTCTGAGAGATTGCAGACGAGAAATACATGATCTGCCGCAGCATCCAGCCACTTTCACCTCTCTACCGAGGCAGCTAGAGCATCAATTGGGCATGTTTGACGACCCAGAGGCATGGCATTATCAAACGAACCATTCTACGAGCCGTCGTTCTAGACACGGCATACCGAATCTAAGATGAGAAGGTCGGACCCTGCGAGCCAAACCCAGGCCGCACGAACATACTACCTCGCCAGCCAAGAGATTATATTACCCTTATCCACAAGCTAAGTACAGGAACCATTGCAGAGATTTACCGGCACACTGTACTCCACCAAACAGCCGCAAGCACAGCTCTTTCGCGAGAATTGATCTATCTTGATGAGAGAAGCTCACCGCAATCGTGATCTAAATGCATACTATTCTTGGTGGGTTTGTACTACATCGCCTAACCAAGTATTTACACTTGATGTCACCTCTACCCAGTCTCCGTCCAACCAACAACCAACACAGCAGACAAAACCCCTCAACGCTCAGCCATCTCATCATCTCATCTCATCTGAGATTTTCTAGCGTTATACAACAGCGCAGATCACGCACCAGCCTTACTTACTCAGACGACCCCACCCGGCCCAGCCACGGACGATATCGAGTCAGATACAGTGGAGTCTAAGTTGCATCTGATAGATTAGCAGTCGAGACTAGATACTACGTGCCGATAATTCCGATATTTTCCAGCCCCTATTGTAGTTAATTACTAGTCAGTTAAATACTACCTAAGGTAACAGCGCCAGCAAATTCTTCACATTCCCCTATCCCGTAAATTAGACTAGATGGTTAGTTCAGAGTAGTTATATGAAATGAGGACCCGGAAAACCCGACCCCACCCTTCCCACTGAGTAAGACAAACATCAGCCCGACGGCAACAACCCACTGAACAAACACCCTTTGCCAAGAGAAACAGACTGAAACAGGGGGGGCCGGAGCGGAAATTGCTGGCATTATGTATGTATGTATTTTACCTCTGTAATTCTTCATACTCAAATACCTTGTATGGAAATAATCCCAGGTAAAAGGGCATAGTTACATTGTTGATCAATATCATCTATTTATCTAGTATCTATCTATTTACCTATCTGTAAGGCTGTATATATATTGTCTGCCTGTACCCCAGTAACTCGAAGAATTAACGGCTACCATTAAATAATACTAGTAAGTACTGATAGATTTGGGAAGTAGGCAGATATGCATAATTTCCGGGCGGGAGGGGATATTCAGAACCTAGTAGTACTTAACTGCTACTGCTACTGCTGTAACGGATTTGAAGCACTATGTACGTCAATACATTAACAACTGGCATATACTTGCATACAAAGATACCAAATATAGAGTTTATTGCTATATATACCTGAATCAGACATGAATGTCTTAGACATTGATGATGATGATGATGGGAAGTCATACACTGCCACAATATGCTAGTGCTTAGAGTACTACTATAGTTAGGTGTATGGGTTAGTTAGGTGTTGAGCTGGGGGATAGATATTGTAGGCTGATATTGTTGTAGTATATAGGTTAGTGCTTAGTAGTGATTTACTTTAGTAGCTAATCCACTCTTCAATACTGTAGTTCTTACTACACTGTCATAAGTTCAGCTTGATTCATTACTCCTGTAACATACTTAGTATAGTATAATAAATATATATTGTAGAGCCTATAAAGTACACCACATAGTAGTATCTCTAGTGCACACCACCACTTAAACACACATCCTTAAACCACTTACAAAGAATATTCCACCACTACTTCAGCACATTCCCCAACCCAACAACTACTACTAGTACAAAGAACCCCCCTCCCCCCCTTTTAGTAAACAAGCAAGTACTACTTACCAACACAGACCCCAAATATAACCTATCATATTAATCTCCTACCTGCGGAGTACTTCATACCCGCTTACTCAGATATTTGCACCCCAGACATGACAGATCTCAAGCAAGGCGTGCCCGAATCCCCCCAAAAAGGGGGTATATAGTACCTAGATCGATAATTTAGTCACGATCTGTTAGTTTCTCAGAGGTAATATTATTGATGTTTATTCAATTATTAGTTGGGGTATGGGAAACATTGACATTTATGTATACCAAGTAGATATGTACGTGTGTGTATGTGATCTCTGAGGTTTGGTGGGGGTTATTGATTGTTAGGGTTATGGGTTATTTGATGGACATGGGGTGATTGGTATGTGGATAGATGTTTGTTCATTGCTGGTATATCGGGAAGGTGAAGAGGGTGAAATGATGAAGCTGTATGGTATTTGGTTGTTGTGCTGTCTAAGAGTGATACCTATCTACACCCGCCAAGGAGCTATTTTCTGAGTCTGAGAAATGTGGCTTGGTATGTGTTGGTGGCGTAGCTGGAGTGTTTTGAACTTCAGACAGGTAAGGAGCACAGTAACTTTATCGCATCAATAGTGTTCGGAGTTATTTAATCCCCGTGGTTTCATAGTGTACAGTATATGTAATACCTCGTTCATTCAATACTGTCATGATAATAATGAAAAATTCCGAAACTCCATAGTTTGGGAATTATATATGCACATGTAAAATATGAACCAAAAATCATCTCTCGCTATGCATCGTGTTGCGTGATCGTCTCACATCACAAAAAGCAAATTGGTATCTACCGGGCAATCAGTTAGTCAATGTCCGTCCTCGGAGGGACTAGTGATGCATTGCGCCTACCTAATGGATGACTGCAGCTCAGCTGCGGCTTCTGCGAATACTTCCCCTCCAGTTCATTGCGAATCGAGTTCAGCAATTGCAGGTAGCTTTGGTTGGGTCGTTGCTGCAAGGTCTTGATGAATGCCCAGCTCAGGGCTCCCCGGGCTTCACCGTCTTGGAATGTGTCCGCACTGTAGATCAATGGTAAGTAGGCAAACTAGAATTAAATCGGATAGGTAGGGCTGCTTACGAGGTTTGAGTGTCCTTGGAGCCGGAGAACATGACCACATCGGCGGGCGAGGTCTTTGTCATGACGGTCCGTTGGCGCGCGGTGTCACCATTGGCGGCCTTCTTGAAAAAGCCGATAGCAGTTTGCGCGACACTGCTGAGATCGCCTTTTCCGTAGGAGTTGATGGCACTGAATAGGTCCATCGCTGCTTCCTTGGCCAGGTTGGGTTCCTTCAGAATACCTTGCGTGGAATAGACATAAGGGAGATCGAGAGCGGTTCCGGAGTGGCAAGAGTCGAAAATGGCGGTTAGACGGACACCGGGGCGTAGTGGACGAACCCTGAACCATCAGTATCGACAAGGAAATAGATCACAAAGGGTGACTTACATGATGGCGTGCATGTCATCGTCCACGATATGTCCTGCGGTGCGGTAGTCGAGCGGGTAGATAACATCATCGTAGCCTGAGATGTCAGTTACAGTCTTCTGGAGTTGTTTGGGTGCATCGTACCATCTTCCTCGTCACCATCAAGATCGGGTGTACGACCACCGTGTCCCGAAAAGTGGATAAATAGAGAGTCGTTGGGCTGCGCGTCCTTCACCAGCCATTGCATAGCCCTCAGGATGTTGGCCTTGTTCGGTATACTCATCGGGTTCTTCTGATCATCCGTGAGGATGACCATGTCTTCCCTGCGATATCCGTACTTCTGGTTCAAAAACGTCGACATGTTGGTAACATCGTTGATACACCCGCGCAGCTGGTTCGGCTGCCCGATGTAATTGATACCGATTAGGAGGGCTTTACGCCGACCGGTACAGTTGGAATACTGGAAGCGGTAATTGGATGGGGCGCCCCTGCCAAAGTGCTGCGAATCCTGAGGCGGGCGGGGCGGGAGGTTCTGACCCCATGACGGCGAGCGGTCTACATGAAGTTAATATGGGTTGAGTCGCATATTGATACTATGGAATAGCTCTCTTACTGTGATAAGACCGTTGATGAGGTGAGGACGACTGAGGCGGCGGCGTAGGAGTATGGTGCTGGCCGTAGTAAGGGGAAGGTGCCGGAGACGGGTAACTACCAGGAGGAGGATAGTAGTGAGATGGCGGGGGGCCGGGCGGTGGTGAGTAATGAGAAGTCGGAGGCGGGCCTGGGGGAGGTTGGTATTGCGCGTTGGATGAGTATCTGGAGATGCCGGTTAGGAGATAATTCGCGCATAGTGTTCCTGAAAGGCTTACGGGTAAGGATAGGAGGATGGCGGGGGTTGTCCCCACGATTGTTGCCGAGGGTAGTCACCAGACCAACCCTGGTGGGAGTGGTGGTAGTACATCAATTACGGCGTGGGAGATGAAACGGACGGGTGAGGGAAAGTGTGCCGTGAGCGGGGGAGTCGCAATAGCAATTAAATATAACTTCAGCGAAGACCGAGCGTGGTATCAGAGTAAGCGACGAGGGGAAGTGGTGGTCTGTGTTTGTGCGGAGATACAGACACTCGATAGGAAAACAGTGGGGGATCTGTCGAGAACCAGTCCACCGGGTGTACGCTGAAGAACTTGGGGCAGAATCCTGGACTAGTCTGGAGATATGAAGAGCACGCGAGGATCCTGGATGACTTTATTGCAAGAAAAGAAAAGAAAAGAAAAGGGAAAGGGAGCGAAGGGGAGAAAAACGGTGAACGGGTGGGATTTAAAGCAGGATGAATTGGATTCCCTGGCCCGTCACAGGGCTGGCTGATGGCCCGTTCTCCACTGCCGGTGTCGAGTAGTGATTGGCTCGGTGATGGCTGTGTGGGTCGTGCACGAGGCGTAGGGCAGAAAGAAAGGTTGGAAATGGCTGTGGGAGTGGTGGCATTCGAGGGGTTCGGCTTTATCGGCATCTCCTGATGCCCCCTTCTTGAGTCCTCGTAATCTGCTGCTTACAATATCCTGGAGGCTCTCGAGATGACAGAAGACACTTAGCCTCTATTCTGGATGTTTCGATGCACGCACATACAGTCACCATACTCTCCTCATCGTCTTCATCTTTTTGATGTCGTTTCACCCGACCAACCACCTGGTCGGTTTCGTTGCCGATCCCTCACAATTTTAATGTGACTGAAGGCAGAAATACTAAAACCTAGTAATCATATGGGCCCTCTTACGTTGCCCTGGGCCCGATAAGGAACCCGCCAGGACGAATCTGCGGTCACAACTCATCGTCTTCCATGGAACCACCGCCTCCAGGTCCTCCCCGCTTGTCCATTCGGGGTAACTTTCCGGAATGTTCGCTGCAGCCCTCTTTTAGGCACCAGCCAATCCCCTTGAAATGTCGCCCAGCAAGTTTGCCCGCCAATGCTAGTCATGCTGGGCGGTGTCTCCCTACATACGCTGCTGATAGGTCTGCACTGCCCCCCAGGCTATGTAGTGTTTGCAAGCGGGTAGGGCGATCAATAAATGTGCTGTGCAAACTTGGCCGGGCGTTGAAGATCTGGGGTCACCTGGGCAAACGTGACCAATCCATTAGAAAGAAAATTGGGGCACTGGAGTGGCGCGGGGCATTAGTGTGAAGTAGATATGCAGAGTACTAAGTAGTCAGTAATTAAGTCTCTTTGCATCATCATCAGCATCATCATCAACTGCTCTGGCTGCACTACTACCGATTCTTTCGGTCGGTCTTTCAGTTAGTTCTGCAGGATCATCCTAATCGGTGAGTCGTGGTGGTTGGACAAGCATGGTTTTATACATCTCTGCACCACAGTTATGCTCTGGCGGTGTCACCTGACGCCAGAGGATGCTGTCATCCGGACATGACACTCGTCAAGTCTGCATATCCCTGGCATCCTGGTGTCGCCAGTTTACGCAATCCTCACCACGGGTAGAGTACAGTCAGCTTGGCACCGCACAACCTTGAGTACCTTTGTCTGCTCACATGCGTCCCTTTTATTCTTCTGCTTGTCTCTTGGGGTATGCTCTCTTTCACAGCAATGTGAGCCAGGAGCTTGGTTAGCTGTGTCGAAGCAATTCAACCATCATGCATTCAACGGGGCACTAGGTTTTTTAAACCCAACAGCAATACATAAGGTCGAGCCCCGCCAAGTGAATTCTATCGCCAAGGCAAATGGTGTCTCGACCCGACGTCAGTTCTACCGGACCAAGGAAAACTATCCCCTACGGAGCCTTTAAATAACCTGGTCGGCCTACAACTCATCGACACGCTGACTGTTGCTCTCTCTCAGCCTAACTGACCTTGACTCCGCATCTTGATCATCGGCTAGCCTTGCCTCTCGTGACCGCATCTTGGCGCTTGACCACAATCAGCATGGCGTGCGCCCTTCACAGCAACAACAACAGTCATCAAACGGAGCAAGCAGCAGCAATGCTCACCTCATTCGCCCGGACTTCCATGGATCCAGGATGCATGAGGTCCGCATGCACTGTGCCATCCCTTGGCCGGCCGATATGCGCACCCTCGGCCCCCCAAGTCAAGTCTTGCGATCAGCGAGCATCGTGAGATTGTGCTTTGCGGAATAAGCCGCAGCGATCGTCCACGATGACGGCAGCAATGTATAGATCACAATCACCCCCGCAGTCACAGCGAAAACAAAAAAACATGGCAAGTGCTTATCTCGACCGGCATATATCCTATTGGCAGCACAACATGCCACGGACCAGGCGTTGTTGCACGTTTGGGGCAATCGGCAAGGCTGTTAGCAAGCAAGCAAGTGCTGCCGCATCATCTCGACCACAAGTGCTTACCCATCAAGGGTCCAGAACACAATCATTCCCTGCTTGTTTGATGTGGTCCAAACGTGCAGCTCAGGGCTCCGTGCGTTCTCCCTTGATGGTGCTCGGTACCTGTTTCAGGCTATCCGGGCCTGTTAGGCAGATTCGAGGCAGTGCAAGCGGGGTTGATGCATGCCACGGGATGCCCCGGCCTTATCACCAGAATAGCACCGGGAGCCTGCTCCCAGTATGACAACGGCCATTGGAGAGACAATTGACTCTGATCATCGCAAAGTGGGATGGGAGGAGGATCAGGAGTTTGCTGATGAGTGAAGGATCTTCGTACGGAAATGCAGGATGACCCTGACGTAGCTCCGAAATACGGTTATCACCCGACCAAGATGACCAATGGCCCCTATGCGCGATATACCCACCGGTGGTTGCCGACGGGGTAATGGAAGGAAGGGGCCGCACTAGTTTGAGAGAATGATTAGATATCACCGCAGCCTCACGGGGGTATTCAGCCTGAGGCATCAGTTAATAAACCAATTCAGCCGCAAAGCGTTGCGACTCGCCACCGTTGGGTCTTTGCCATTTGATTTGGGAGGGGAGAGGTTTCATTTCAGCCTTCATATTTCAGCCTCCTCTTCGCAGACTAATTTAGCTCAAGGTTTCGTGTTGAGAATTCAAACCCACCGAAGAAGGGAATTCCGTGACCGGGTTGGGCGATCGGGAGATGGGAGGCACGCGGCTCCGCAGGTGACTTGAGATGGAGGCTTTTGAGGCTGCGAATGATGGCAGCCGCGCAGGTCCGACGGGATGATGGCATTTTACCCAAAACCAGTTAGTCTAGTAAGTAGTAGTACACAGCTAGTACTCCGTAGTCCCCCAGTCGTCCCCAGTCACTTCCAGCCCGCCGCCTCCCTTGCGTAACTTCCTTCGCCTTCCAATCCCCTTCAAACATCAGGGCTCCTTTAATTATTACTACGCCTTGGCCCCGGCTGCGTCTCCATCCGGCTGGGCAGTTGAGCCTCCAAATATTTTTTGTTTTTGTTTTTGTTTTTTTTTTTTTGTTTTGTTTTTGTTACTGCCTGTCTGGCTTGGCCTCTCTTGAGAGTCTGGTCCGATTGCCAACTCCGAAGGGGGCAAAAAGAGGTGTGCCGTTTCTACGGTCGGTCATTGCTAAAATTAGCGTGGGACCAGCTGGTAGAAGTAGTGGTAGTGGTAGTAGTAGTAAGTGGTAGTGGTGGTAGCAGTAACAAATGCCACTGCCTAAACAGTGGCAGTCAAGTTCAGTCAGTCGCACGGCTCACTCGAATGCAGCCTTGCCCAGGTTGTCCCCTGGTAGTCTAACGCGCCGAAAAAGAACTTTCATTCCCACACTGAGGCTCTCCCTCTCCCAATTCAAACTAATCGTCTCATCACTCCCCGTTTTGGGTTTACCGCTTGACCGCCCCTCTCCTCGTCAAGCTAGCTGAATGTGAGTCGCTGCTGATGCCTGTCTCGCGGACTGTCGCACTGTGCCGCTTGGACTATCTAGTACGGAATAGCTAGGCTTATGATCCATTCCTCATCCTGCCTCCCAGATGGTATGCTTCCCGCGTCCCTGAGGACCAATGATGTTGCTTCTCGGACCCAATATCCCACTTTTCTTTCCATTCTTTCGCCCCTCCGGCGTATCCCATGTAAAGCTTACCCTGGAACAACAGAGCCGCATCATGAAGTCTACTAGTTAAACCATGGCAGCTGTTCAACAGCTCCCCTATCCAGTCGCGTCCATGTGTCCAGTGCATGGCTGTTTGTTGTCTAAAGTGTTGTCCCACTAAACCTTATTTTCTTTCAATGTGGATCGCTGTATTCCCTACCAACACTCTCTGTATACTATCTGGCCGCCTCCGATCAACAGTGAATACAAGTACCAATATTCACGTTCGGGCACTAACATCTCACTGATCGACTGACGTTGTGTTTAACCATACGTGGGCTCATCTGCGCCATTATTCCTATCGATTCTCATATTCTCACCCATATTGGTGTCTCGTCGATGGTATAAGTGCGGTGTGGCAGTGCGCGCATCCTTTCCCTCTTCCTCCTCCTTCTCCGCTCTCCATATATGGTGCGCAGCTCTGCCATTCGCCATGGTCACATCTGGAATGGTCAGAAATCTGGACTGCATCCCTTATGATGTATTCTACCAAGTGGCCTCTACCCTCGACTGTCACGACCTCATTCATCTTAGCCGCGTTAACCGAGCATTAAATCATTTGGTGCAAAATGAATCAATTGCGCGTAAAACGATTCAAGTAAGTGGCACCGCAGTGTTTGTGAATTGGGGTTTGTACTGACTGTTCTAGAATGATTTACTGCACACAAAGGAAGGACAAGAGGCAGACCAGGCCAAGACTGGATATCGCAGAGCTCTCGGGCGCCTATTCGACATCAAGGAATCAGTCGCAACGGCACAGCCGTACTCTGCTTCCATTTTGGCTTATGCGAGCTCCTTCATCTACAGTGAAGGCTGTCTCAGCTACATCTTCAACGATGAAATCCGTGTCCTAGATGTGCACGGTGCCGGCCAAGTTGAGCAGGTGCTGAACATCCACAATGTTCTATCCCGGGCCATCCAAGGGTGCAACCCACAGACAGATACATTCCAGGTCTGCCTCATGTACTACAGTAACTGGGTTCTGGCATTCACAGTGGAGTTTCTAGACAGGCCTGAAGCTTGGCTTCTGGTAGTGGACATGCGCCGCAAAGTGAACAACAAGAAATGTGGTCGGCTACGTCTCCTGACAAGGCTCCAACACACACGACGATTATTCGTTCGACACAATGGCTCCTATCTATACTATGGGACGCACACCGCAGTGGGTGATCGTGGCTATTCACAATGGGCGATTCATTGTGCGGATCTCAAGATAAGCCAGCACCTGACGGAAAAGCCAACCGTGCTGGAAAACTTCGCCGGCAGCGAGATTGGTCAGACCGTATGCTTTGAAGTTCATCAGGACCATCTCTACGCAGTGTCTACACTCGTGGACTTTGAAGCGGAGGAAGTCGATTGGACTTCGTACTACGTGTGGCTTTGCATTCCCCCCAAATCTAACGCTGCCAAACGATTCATCACGCCCAACCGTACTTGGCGTCGTCAGCATCGTGAAGGCCCGATCAATGACACCTGGTCAGATCTCACGCTGCGTCAGGATGAGGCAACCAAGCGACTGATGATTCTCGAATGCCGCCGGGAATGGCGCGATGGTCGGAGTGAAAATGCACGCACATATTACATGCAGCCTTTGCCGTCCCCAGCCGAAGCCACTCAGAATAAACAGCAAGGCTTGGATTCCACACCCAACGCAACGCCCGTCACCCTCCCTGACGAACCTCTCACCAGAACCCTCGACTCCACCAGCAAACCCAATTACGAACCCCCGCGTAAGCGTCTACGCCGACATTTCCACCAGGAATACGCACACGGTGCGGAACCGGCCCAACGACATGACTACATTCTTGCCAAAACCAAGTTCCGCAGCTACAACCTCTCCGCTTCGACATTTGTCGATCTGGTCAATGACCCCTCCCCGGACACGCCCGGCAGCTTCATCCCGCATGACCGACTCCGTGTGCGCGCGGTATCACGCAAACGCAAATGTCCCATTGACGAGAACGGGGACGAAGGCGAACCCGGCCTGCTCTTCCGTCCCGAACTCAGCGATGCAGATGGCCAGCCGATTGAGCACAGCGAAGAACGCTACGCCTCACGCGGGGTCCGTCTGTGGCCTCCCGACAACGCCCCGCGGGAATTAACTCAGCTGCTCTGCCCATCGAAGCGCTGTGGCCCCGTTCAGGCAGCCGCCGACGAACGGTCCCTCGTGTACTCGGTCGATCAGGATGGCCTGGAAGGGACCGGACATCAGGCGATCGTGCTGATCAATTTCGACCCGTCGCTACGCCTGCCCGGCTTACAGAGCATGAATCTCACCCGTGGTGGAGCAGGTGCCCTACCAGCGGACGAGCGCGATGCCCCAGTGGCCATGGAGCGACCGGCCATCGGAGATATCGGACGCGAACGAGTGGGCGTGCACACATGTATCGGCAGTCGAAAGGCGAACCAGCCGGTGCCATCTGTCCGTGAGGAACAGGCCCTGTATCTTTCTATTCGACGGGGGTATTGGCTTCGGTAAGGGTGTGATGAGTTTGAGTTGAGTTGCACTGCCCTGGCACCGGACGAGGCTGTGCAAGGGGTTTATTTTTATTACCGGTACGTGCCTAGTTAGCTAGCAAGCGCGTTTTACCTCTTATCTGAGACAAGGGTGGAAACACACACGCACCACCACCAGCACCAAACATAACCATAATATCCTAGAATAGATGATCTAAATGATAATGAATGAAAAAATTACTATAAACTCACTAGTGTGTGTGCGTGCGCGTATGTCATGATTATTCTTATTCTTCTCCCCCATTGTAGGGTGGTTGGGGCCGTCTGTACCGGGTGAGCTGATCGGATCGGATCGTCAGCTGTCAGCTTACTATCTTCTTACTTGACTGGTCTTATCCTGACCACTTGGCTGGAACTAGTAGAGTCGTGGCATGCAATGAATTCAATTCGTACCTTCGTTCAATCCCTTGGCTAGAAGGGAAAAAAAAGAAAAAAAAAAAAAAAGAAGGTCCTGACAAAGATACCTGCAGGAAGGATCCGAGTTCGAACAGACAGACAACACAACCGAAAGGATTCAAGGCCCTACTTTTTACACCTCGCACCGGTTACTTATGAGGGACCGTTATCCATACCATTTAGAGTAAAGTAAGCACTTATCCATACCACTTCAGGTAAGCTGTACGTTGAACGAATGGGGATAAGGTATTAAGTACCGGTGGGGAGTGGATATTAAACGGCTTGTCTCAGGATTCTTATGGGGTCAAATGGTGTGGATGGATCCAATATCTATTCGATCCTAGTGCACCTCTACTACGTAGTACTATAGTAGTTCGTCATTTACCGACGGTAAAGATCTTGTTACAGATATAGTATTAGCTAGATGGGTGTTCAGACTTGTGGATTTGTCAGGTAGCTTACTTTCCTGCGGAATTCTGTCCGTTGCATATTTGTTAATTAATGGAGTTTTTGGCATGTTTACTCGTATGTCTGACTGACTCGTATGCGTCAGGTGATTGGGGCTCGTTTCTACTTTCTGCTGGGGGTTCTGACTTTCTTCCTTCTTGGCCATTGGGGACACAGGCCCGTTGTGATTTCTATCGTTCTTAGAGCGACTTCTCCTAATTTTGGTCTTGGGAACTGGCTCGCTGATACACTTGAGTGATGTCTCCATTGCTTGAAAGAGTACTAACGAGGATGTGTCTTGTTGCAGTCTGCTAACATTCTATACCTTTTTCTTTCTTCCTAAACTCCCTTTGAACGCCATACCTCCTATTTCCTCGCGACTATCATTAGGGAAGACTGTAAGTCAAGCACTCCCCAACCAACCCCCGAAGCTGGGGAACCCGCTGCTCCAACTCATTTGACCGTGCTTTCCATTTAGGGTATTCTTTGGTACCAACGCGACTAACGCGCCAAATGGACGCAATTCCAGATCCCACAAAAAAAGCACAGGACCCCAAGAACGCAATTGGGAACACGGCAGGGAACGCTCCCGTCAAGAGAGCAGATCCAGCACCGCCAACCCATGATGCCGCGGCAGCAGTCCAGCTTGACAGGAATATTCTCGTGTGCAATTCGTCAATGGCAAACTCGAGGGTCTGTAGGCGAGACGCGCACACGAAAAGCAGCAGTCGTCGCAGGATGTCTTTTTCATCAGGGTCTGGCAGGATCATACATGCAAGTCGGATGGTGAAGTCGGAACAGTTCCACCAGATCGGGTCATAACATCCCCATGCTGTTCGCAGGGGTTTATAGACTAATCGACCCGCTTTGATTAGCTCTGGTAGGTGGCATGAAGGTCAGAGGGGCGGGGTGTTGACTTACACGACTCCATTATTGCTTCGTTGTCGTAAGTGACCAACCCGATCTCAACGATCCCATCTATGCTCCGAATCTTCTCCTCTCCCCAGCAGACGCCACCTCCTTTCTCGTCAGTTATGTTGGGACCGACGAGCTCGAAAAATGATCCATGTTGGACTTTCTGCAGGAGGTTCGTTGTTCCATCCATTCAAACCGCCTCTGGCACCAATTAAACGGCAAAATGACGCATGAATCCGGGTGGTTCTGGAAGTGACTCAGTCTGGTTTCTGTTCCGGTAATTCCTGGGAAAGTCGCCTTCAATCCCTATGGCATCCTTGATTGCCTTGTAGGATCTGCCCGACTTTACTGTCACAACGAGGACGACACGTTTGCACCAAGCATCTGTGAGAATGAGAACCATATCATCAAACTGAAGTTAGAGGGAGGAACATACTTCGCGCCTGTCCATAATGAGCGTGGCTGGTCTGTTGCTCGCAGGTAAACCATTGCTTGATAGCTTTGAATGCAGCCATCACAAAGCCAAAGAGTTCCAAGGTGGCTTCCTGGACCTCTTTCATGACAGCCACCACCACTGGACAGACTTTTGCAGAAATTTCAACCGTCTGTGCTCTTATAGCTTCCCATTTGGCCCTGAGAAGCGTTAGAAGATGTCTCCAAGCGTCTGAGCGCTGAGAGACAAACTGCCAGAACAAGGCACAAGCCTTCTCTTTCAGCCATCGAAATGTCTGTACCGGAACGTTTCTGATTTATATCAGCCCAACGATTATGGATAATACAACAGTAGACAAGAAATTGAGGATGACCTTGACTCCGTCAAGCTTCACTGCGCCTGCCAAGAAGATCAGAAGGAGAATTTCAGGGCGTGTGTATATCCTGCTCATTCTCACTTTCTGGGTTGAACAACGACAGGTTTAGCCAGCAGGGATATCGGGTGCAACTGTCCGAGAAAGATCAAGCGTGAGATGGGAAATAAGGAGAAGGATAACAGAGCGCCTGCGGCATGAGCGGGCTATATTCAGATGCTCACTACAGTGACCTAACTGATTGGCCTTGTTCAATTGGCGTAGCTCGACCACCCAGAGCCTCATCGCTTTCCTTTGAGAGTCAAGCCTTCGCCACCATCGGTTCTTTTCTCGGTTTTGCCCTAACTCCGATATCCGGTCGGGGGTATTAATTCGAGGTTATGTCGCATCATAAGATACTAAGTATTGTTGGTCATTGAGCCCTGGGGCTCAGCGCCTACGAGCGTTTACCCAGCGACGCATCCTATCCAATCAATCCGAGATGTAGCAGACTAGTTTCATTGGCCATAAAAGCCCCGTTGAATTGTGTCTCTGCATACCGATAAAAACTCTGTCAAGATGATCCAGTTGGTTCGATTGATCGATTGCTTGGTCGGTTGTTGATAGTCGTCGCTCAACCGGGCCTCAAATACGCCGATGTCTGTTTTCCGGCAACCTTCCATACTTACAAATGTATTCTTGGTCTTCTGATGTGCCTCATTTGTTATTGAGCCGTATTGATTCAATACCTCTGGTGCCGTGTTGCCGATTATCAGCTGGTTGTATACTAACTCCTGCCACCCGCAAAACATGGAAACAATACGTTAGCACAGGGGTCTCCGTACGACAACCAAAGTTATTGTTTGGATTAATTACACAAAAAAGACTTTCGTACCGGATTGCACTAATTATCTGATACTGGATACAGTAATGATTACATCGGGACTTGGGATTTTCTTCCGACTATCTCGACATTGAGCATAAAACGCAACATACACAGCTACGGCTAGCCGAAATAGGCAAGTTGGTTTATATTATTGTATGTATTTAAACTTTTTCTAATTTATTTTTTTGGTTCATCATCCATTAGTTCTTAGGTTCTGTCTCCTTTCTACCTTTCTTGGTTAAATTCATTTCAAAAGCTATTTCCGTGAGTCAATGACTGGCTGCTTTCTTCTTAGACTGGAGAAAACGAATCCTTGCTATCCACACAGACACTCATTATATTTCTCTCTTTTGTTTTCTCTCTCTCTCTCTTATTTTATTTATTTTTCATTTTCTATTATTAAATTTTTCTTCCTTTCTTAACAATATTATCTTTCACTCAAACGCGATGGCTCAGGCGCTCTGACTCAGTCAGCTCTTTCATCTTCTTCGATAATCGAATGGATGATTGAAAAAGGTAAGAGATGAGGAAGGGAAAAAAAATTACTCTTCTCACCATGACATCTATGCAGCCTATTCTAAACTTATTGCAGCTAGGGTAAAGTGCTAGGGTAAAGTGGACAGTAGTAGATGGCCATGAAATATACTGCTAAAGAAGCAAATATGTTATGATTAGATAGACCAGACAGAGTCGATATCAATCATTATCAACCTTCTTATCAACACCCCATTGGGAATTGATCACCGTCTTGATACACCAGCCTCCAACTAAAGCTTGCTTAAAACATAACGAGAATATATCACCTTCTCCATTTATTCAAGATACATCGCCGTATCAACCTAGTAGACAGACCTTCCCAGAGGAAAAACAAACCACAGCACGACATCCTGTCGATAGAAGTAAATAAAAATGTGTGTGATCTTTAAAATAAAAGAAGCCCAGAACACAATAAAAACCAAGTCTCTTTTTTCCAGTACACCATGCACAATGCACCATGGGTTTCCATTCCCACCCCCCCCCCCCCAACACACACAGAGAACCCCCTCTCTATTGCAGGGTTCCATACCCTGCAATCACCCAAGAAATTGTCCTAGAAAGATAGATAAGGATGATAGATTCCATCATAGTATAAGGTTTTAGACGCATTGGCGAAGTCGTGCACGTTAGGGTCGAGGTCGTTGATTGCCGTGAAATCTCGACGTTCAGCAAAGAGGGGACGGCCAGCTCTCTCTGGTAGAGAGAAGGGCGACCCGGCACCGGAGAAGAAGAAGGTTATCGTTCTGTGGCCGCCACCGGTGTTGCGATCCGCCAGGTTGATCCTCGTCGAGTTCGGTGTCGTCATCGTCGACGCGGCACGGTGTGGTAGGGCGACGAGGTGGAGTGACATTTGCATCGTCGGACTCGCTAGCGGTGTCATCTGCATCGCTTTTGTTAGCAGTGTCGGTGCGAGAAAGTGGAGCGACATTCGTGTTGTCGGTCTCGTTAGTGGTGTCGTTCGCATAGTCGGTTTCATTCGCCGTGTCGTTGGCGTATCAAGAGCCTTGACAGGAAGTCAATGCTTCTTAGCTAAGGAAATGGCATGTAAAAGAGAGATATTTTCAAGAAGGGAGTGAGGAGCTGCACCGTCAGCTTTGGTTAAACCTGCTGCAGCTCAGATATATACCATTTCCTTGTTAGATGCTCCCAATTGTTAAGCTAAGATCACCGTCCAACCCTGCCGTGGTAAAGTCTTCGAAGGTCTTGGTCAACTTGAGATTATTTCCAAGTGGAACAGTTAGCTTGGAATTCCATCTGCTCTCTGACTCCTGACTATGCTAGGAGGTTCGTGGTCTAACCAGTAAGTTTGTTGCGTGTTTTGTCTTAGCTAACTTGGGCGCTTGTGAAGGTAGGTTCGTCCCAGGCTGTGAGATGTTGTATAAGTAGCTGGTCACTTTTTGGGAGCAGGCCGCCACAGTGTCTTCGCTTCTCTCCTTCTTCGTTAAATCATCTGTTTTCCGTCTTAATGGAGGAAATGCAGAGATCAATCGAGGAACTATATGCTGCTTCGTATTGTCTTTCCGCTTCCGGTGAGGGTGGCGCCCGTCCCGGGAGCCAGAAACAGGTATTGTACTATCATTGATAATATGGTGTGTGGCATGATCATTGGCTTTTGGGGAACATGGCTCTGCGATGTGAGAGCCGGTCAAATATGTCTCATTTGGCGCATCTAGACTAGAATTCTGAGCCATCAGGCTCAGGTGCGCATCCCTTATAAGCTTGACCCCCTAGGGACCGTCACACTGCGATTGGAGATGAGAAGGGCGTTAGTATCGGATTCATATTGCCTAAAATTATTAAAATGCGTTAGTTCAGTTGCAAGGACACCGTAAACAGGCAGGAATACTACTAACCTTCTCCAGAATGGTGGGAGCCAAAGGAGCCTCTTCTAGACTGGGGAAACCGAAACCGAAAGTTTCCACGTGGACAGATACCCATTGTATAGTATATATGACATAGTGTCCATGTTTTGTGAAGTGTACAGAGCAGATCTTCTAGGATGTATATAGGCAGCGCTTGATTCCAGATTGCTGTCCCTCGAAGACCTTCTCAGCGCTCTTCCAGGTTTATCCGGCCAAGGCAGGTTTGGCCCAGTGAAGTGCGATTACTTCTTCTTGATATGGACAACCCATGCCACTTCTTCTTGAATTGTACATACCACCCTGTGCCAGCCGTTTTTGTCGCCAATGTGCCGGACTAGGGATATTTGCCTTGGTAAGTACGCGCCACAGTGGGAAGAATTTCGCAAGGATAATTCCTTCTTCTTCTTCTCTTCTTCGGCGCTTTCGCAGTTTTCAGGGCCCGAGTTCTCATAAAGGCAGAAGCCTTGATCCGTCATCTTCATCCCACTGTCACACAAGAAGGGTATCATATCTCAGTTGTTCTGGAGACTGGGCTTTTGTCTTCCTTGTGTCCGGGGACGACAGGGCAAAGTGTCGAGAGCCATGTCAGATGGCGGGCTTGTGAATTCCATTATAGTCTTGCGATGCCAGTATTTTGACATTCATAACAGACCTACGAAATAGGTAGTTGTTCGGTATGAAGATGACGGTGTCTTCGTCTAAAGAAGGCGAGGCCGCACCCATCATTGCTGCTGGAGAAGAGTAATCCAGACAGCGTTTACAGTGGATGTAACTTTTCCACCATTATATAGGTTTTCGCGATGTTCTTGTCTCTTTGGGCTGAAGCCGGATGGCATATAGAACCGACGGTTGTCAGAGGCACTAGCGGCCTGGTCAAGCAAACCCCGATCGGCTGCCCTAGTTGGCACCCATCTTTGGTAAAGTTCTTGTGTTGACGATGCAATTATAGAACCTGGTTTGTTAAGGATATTGCATGTCTTCTTTTGGTGCTCTTTTGTTCTTTGTCAACATCAGTGTCCCTCTAGGCTACTTCAGGAAACGTGCTAGTTCCGACTGGTGCCATATGCAGCGGGCGGAGCCAGACCCCAAAGGACCACGATCGCCTGCCGTAGATGGTACCCTTCTGCTTGTATCTTTATATGGTGGTACAGACGGTGGCAGGTCTGGATCGATTAGGAGTGCTGTATCTCTTTCTGTTGAGAAGTCTTTTAAGGTCTCTCAACATCACCGTGTCTCTCTAGGCTAAAGCCAGAGACGTATATATATTTGACGACGGTGTTTGATGTTCTCGCAGGCTGAGCCAAAGATTGAAACTGCAATCGGCTGCCGCAGATGGCACCTCTCTTTTCTTCCGTGTCTTTAATAAATGATACAGACTTATATCTCAGGTCTGGATCTATCAGTGCTGCATCTCTTTGTTGAGAACTTCCTTGTGCTTTCTCAACACCTGCGTTCCCTTAGGCCGAAGCTGGGCATCTGTATAAATTTGACGGAGCCTCTCAGGTGCACTAGCGGCTTGGGTCAAGCAGTCCCGATCGGCTGTTCCAGATGCCATCCTCCTTTCATCTGTATATTTTATGATGGTATAGCGTTGTTCCAGTCTTCTGGAGAGTGCAGCACCTCTTTCGTTATGAGCTCTGTTGTGAAGCCAGAGATAGGCTATATAAAATTAACAGGTGTCAGAAGCAGCGAGCTAAATCCGACAGACCGGCCGACTACAATCGGCTGCCCTAGATGGCACCCTTTGCCATCTGCATCATTCTATGATGATACAACGATGAATCTGGCTATCCCGAAAGTATCGTGGTCCCTTCGTTGAGAGTTCTTTCGTGCTGTGGAATCTAGATAGTGTTAGGTTTTGATGCTATCTCATAAGCTGTTATGATGGCATAAAGTATGAAGAAGTAGAAGAAGGAATATGGACATACCATAAACGATCCAGCCCAGCTGTTTAGCTTCCTCGCTGCCGGGTTTGCAGGCCTTCTTTTGAGCCTATATACCTAGTATGAAGCAGGATATGCTATTGCCTACAACCGACAAGGGTCCGTAGTACAGCTCAATCATATTTTGAACGTGTTGCTAAGTAGATCAAAACGATATATCGATGGCCATTCAGCAGATGGGCTGACTCGAATGTTTCAACAAAAGTTATCAGAGGATATATAATGATCAAGCATGAAGCTATATCATAGTTGATGGTATAATATAACTTAGTAATGATAGTAGTTCTACTACTACTGATAGTAGCTGCTTGGAGATAGGAAGATGAGAAGGGGAGAAGAGGGTTGACACCAGGTTTAAATATTGCTTCTCACGTGAGCCGTCATTCAATGCTTCTTCGTGCATATAGCATCATGTTGATACCCTACCTTAAGCGAAGTGCACAAGCAGTAATTTGAGGAGAGTGATATACAATATTCAATCTCCTAAGGGATGTGACGGGTTTACTGTGCAATATTCCAGATGCACCCGTGAATTTGGTTGCTGCTATATTGCCGGATTCACGCATCTCCAGGATGACGTGATTCGCGTGAATTCAGGAAGCAATGACAAGCGAAGCTATACAAACCCTAACGCACTGCAATATTCTAATGATAATATATGTAATTCTTGCAATTTGTTGTGAAAAAATACATTACTTGCATTGCCAGCGAAGAGTTGTAGCATTCACATCGAAAGCGTCCTCCAGGCGTTCAAATCGTTAATAAAAAGCCAAACCGGATGTAGTCAAGCAAAAATGCAACCACATTGCCAGGAAATAGGCATTTACGCTGATCGCATTTTCGATTATCATCAGAAAGTGATATATATATGGAAGGACAAAAAAGAAAAAGGAAAGGTCGTGCCCGGGATCGAACCGGGATTGCTGGAATCAGAATCCAGAGTGATAACCATTACACTACACAACCGAAGTTGATGTCTGGGCATCTACTTTAGTTACTATATTCATGTGTAATGCTAAACTAGCTGTCTGTTTGGCATTGTCTACAGCGACATGATCCAACAGCAGAATGCAGGTCAGACTCTCTCTTGGAATCCTCTCCCCCACCATGATCCAATTGATCCACCTTGTCGCTCTTCTTGATCCTCCTCATCTCCTCAAAAATTCCATGGTAGGTGAAATTGAACTTTCGGAACCGATAAATCTCCTTCGCCGAGTGCCTCGCCGTAGCTTGCGAAGTATTCAACTGGATCTGCGACGCCCGCGGCCTGCGCACACGATCAAAGTCCTCCAGGATAGTAGGAACATTCTCCCTTGTGACATGGTCTCCAATAAAGAGCCGAAATCCCTCTGCATCTTCAATGGCCTGGCATCCTCCCTGTCCCTGATGAGGCGTCATGGCGTGCGCAGCATCGCCGATCAGGACCGTTCTTCCTCGGATATACGTGGGTAAGGGGTCTTGCATGCGGAGTTGCCAGAGCTTAATATTTTCTGCTGCGCTGTAGCCATTACCTACATGTTAGCGCACAACATATAGCGTATCAAGGGGAAAAGAGGGCAATACCCGAAATACTTAAGTACCCAGTCCGGAAAGTCCGTATATAACGAGATCATCTCGTCTTTGTCACCTGGCGCAGACCACGAGTCGGATGACGCTGGGGTCTTGAGCATATTGTCTGGTGCGAGCACAGCGAAGTTGAGGATCTCGTAGTTCCGACACGGGTACATGATCACTCGTCGCTCCGTAGGGTCGAGGGCGTATACACCCAACAAAGTGCCTGGCTTGCTTGAGTCCATTATCTCAGGTACTTCTCCATTGTGCAGCTCGATGACCTTCTCCCGGGACATGGTGAACCGAAATGCAGAAGAGCCCGATGGCTGAGCGGTGATGTATGCGTCGTCGTTGACGACGGGGCTGCGCATGATGGATCGGATGCCGTCCGCGGCTGTTCATTGTTAGTATTGCATCATAGATCTTATCCAAGACCAAGTAGACCAGGGAGGGAAGCATAGAACGAACCAACAACAAGATCCGCCTCCACCACCTCCCCACCCTCCAATATCAATCTCCCCTCATCAACATCCCCATCTACAACCCTCGCCCCAAAACGCACTGTCGCCGGTTCACCACTCAACCCCAACTCTTCCGACGGCGCCGTAGCTAACCGCAAAAGCTCATCTCGCAGATCCACCCGATGATGAAATAACCAGTCTGTCCCGAACTCCTGGACGTAATCGTGGATGGATTCCCGCGTGAGCTCGCCTTGCTTGTTGTACGACAGAACCCGAGTTACTGGGATGGAGCACGCGCGGCGACGATCAAAGTCTACACTGTTGAGGATGTGCACGGCATTGGGACCGAGGTTGATGGCGGCCCCGGCCTCGGCTTTGGCGGCTTCGCGCTCGTAGATGGTCACGGTATGTTGCTCGCGGAGGATGCGGGCGGCGAGACAGCCGGCGAGGCCGCTGCCGATTATGGCGACATTCAGGCTGTGTGGTGTCATTATTGGGTGGGTTGTTGGAGTGAGGGATGGTTTGGAAGGGAGGGAGGAGGGGATAGTTGAAGACAAGGATGGAGGGTGAGGTCATGGGACGGTTCGGTTGGTGATGCATGCCCTTGCGGGTGTGTCTTGCATCTGAATGATCAGGGGGGTAGGGGAAAGATGCAAGGGTCTGTGACGAACTCTGTTAGATAATGTAGACTGATTCGTTGGATGCAAGTAATACTTTGGGTATACTTCAATGAGTAAGTCTGCTAATTGGTAAAAATCCCACCCTCATAACTCCAAATCCAGCTCAGGTATACATTAACAGTAAGAGTACCAACAGGATATACTATAGATAACGCCAGCGCCATCGCCCAAATCAAACACTGAAATCCAGTATCATATCTCGTAAGCTCCCCTCTTCATCAAAGCCTTCAAGACATCGACCACTTCATTCCTCTTCTCCTTTTGCCCCAACATCTCCAATGCCCTTCGCCCCAACGATGCCCCATCACTATCCGCCTTGTCCTCACCAACAGTAAACGTCTCCCCACTATCAGTAGTCATGTTTAGCCCCGCGAAGACATTGGTCCCATTGGGATGCAAGATGCCGCTTAGGGTGTTGCTGATCAGCGACCCTAGCGGCACTTTCGCCGTCATGGTCAGATTCTTCATGACCTCCGTGTAGTACGGGACCTGAACGCCCTCGTACTCGACGTTCGCACCGACGGTCGTCAGACTCAAGTAGCCTTCTTTTATGGAGTCGCTTTGTTCACTTAGTATAGGGCCAATGTTCTCGATGAGTTTGCCGAGATCCAAAATCCCTCGCACGGGTGAGGAGTGGTTGCCTGGTCTAAGCACGAGGTTGTTGAGAGTGCAATTTCCGAGCGTGAGGTTGCCGCTGAGGAGATTCATGGTGGTGTTGCCCTGACTTCGGTTAGAGTTGGCTGCAGTGCATAAACCTATAGGAAAACTCACGATTTCAAGAGTCATCACGGACGGGTTGGGGAGAGTGGCGTTGGCGATCAGGTTGGTACCGTCGGATTCAGCAGGGAGAAGAAGTTTTGGATCGGAGATGGAAAAGCCAGCAAAGGAGTTCATGGCTGTCATGTTGAAATATGGAATTAGCAGTTGATAAGTATATTGGAGGAGTAGGAGGCGCACTGTTTTGCTTAATGTCCTTATTCAATGTGATCTTGGACTTCAGCTTCCCGATGTAAGCAGTGACGGGAGCCTTGACGGACAATGGAGCATGAGGCTCGAAGACCACACTGCGAACATATTGCGTCCATTGGTAG